TGAGGAGAAAGTACAGTTTCCACATACTCACTCCCATCCACCTACCTGCAGACTTCTCCACATCCAACATAACTTATCAATGTGGTATGTTTATTGGTAAACCAACGTTGACACATTATCAACCAAAGTCCATAGTTTACGTTAATATTCATTCTGTGTTGTACATTCCATTGGTTTTGAAAAAATATAACATGTCTCCACCATTTTAGTACCATACAGTATAGTTTCACTGGCTAAAAATCCCCTATGCTCCATCTACTCATCTCCCTGAAACCCCAGTAACTGCTGATCTTTTTACTGTCTCCATAGCTTTGCCTTTTGCAGAATGTCATATGGGTGGGATCATACAGGATGTCACATGTTCAAATTGGTTTCTTTAACTTAGTAATAGGCATTTAAGTTTCCTCCATGTCTTTTTTGAGGCCTGATAGCTCATTTATTTTTAGTGTTAGATAATATTCCATTGTCTGGGTTGTACCACAGTTTGTTTATCCAGTCGTCTACTGAAGGATAGCTCTATTGCTTGCACATTCTGTTAATTATAAATAAAGTTCCTGTGAACATTCATGTGCAGGTTTTTGTGAGGATGTACCTTTTCAACTCCTTTGGGTGCATTTGCTGGATCATATGGTTGGTTTAGTTTTGTAAGAAACTGCCAATGATTGCTACCGTCATTGTGCAATTGTCTTGCAGAGTTGCTGTACTAATTTGCAATCCTACCAGCAATGAATAAGAACACTTTGCCTCACATCCTCACCAGCATCTGGTGTTGTCAAGGTTTTGGATTTCAGTAATTCTAATAGTTTTGTAGTAGTATGTCATAGTTTTAATTTACAATTACTTAATCACATATGATATTGAGCATTTTTATATGCTTATTTGTCATCTGTATATCATCTTTGGCTAGTTGTCTGTTCATATTTTTTGCCCATTTTTAAAATTGGTTGTTCATTTTTTATAATTGTGTTTTAAGAGTTCTTTGTATATTTAGTTTAATAGTCCTCAAGTACCAGCAAATATCTTTTGCAAATATATTTTCTCAATCACATGTGAGAAAGATTCAAGATTACATGTAAAAGGTAATAGATATGAATTGTTTTAAAATTTGTAATATATTTGAAAGGTTATCAACTTTAGTCCAATGAAGTTGCTTGTGATAGTACCTCTTTTTTAAGTGATTTGTGGATAATAGTCTCCATTCTATTCAAAAAATTTTCTGTATCTATAGCATGTTCACTATAAAAATAATTAGAAGGCATAGCAAAGTAAACTATACTTACATTGTAAATAAATGTACTTTTTGCAACCTTTTTATTAAAATGTATCATCACTTTTTATGTTTAGCTAAAAGTCATTGTGCCATACTTTAATTAAAGTACCATACTTTAATTAAAGCATAACTTATTTTTAAAAATTAGCTTATTTTTAGATATATAATTAACACTGCAGTAAGAATTCCTAAAAGTCATTGTGCCATACTTTAATTAAAGTACCATACTTTAATTAAAACATAACTTATTTTTAAAAATTAGCTTATTTTTAGATATATAATTAACACTGCAGTAAGAATTAATATGCAATACATCTTTGAGCATTTAAAAATGGCTTAGGGCAAATTCCTAGAAACAGTATGGTTTGGTCAAGAGAATGTTCATTTTTAAAATCTTTTGTATACATTGCCAAATTGTCCATTAGAAAATTTGTATCAGTTTACATTCTCCATACGTGCAATCCAAAACTCCAAATACTATATATATATATATATAACATAAAAAAGATTCTCAAAGTTGGAGAGAAGAAGCATGCCACTTAGGGAACTTTGGAATCAAAAAATGGCATGCAGGATTTTCTTTTTGCTACCTTGCTCCCAGAATTGGAGCTGCAGGAACCAGCAACCTGGAAACACTGATAGGCACAGACAAGTCAACCTAAAATAAAAACACAACCACAGTCTGCTTGCTCTTGCCAAAGTACTAGGGAAGGGTCAGCACAGCAAGACAGAAAACTTTTAGAACAATAATTCCTGAATCCAGCCAAATATCACAAAAAATGTAGCTCCTTCCCACACCTGCTAGCAAAGGCTGAGTGGAAAGCCTGGACTTCCACCCTCACCAGCTGTAAAGAAGTTCTCCAGACCTCTCTGCTGATATAGTGGCAGAGGAAGGTGAGTGGGAGCCAGGATGTTCTGCTCTGTTTGTCAGTAATGAGGCCCCTGAGCCCGGGTGTCAGTAAAAACCATGTAGGAAGCCCATACTTCTGCCCCCGCTATCTCCTAGCCAGTGAGGGCCAGTGGGTAGCCGGATCTGTCATCCTAACCCAGCAGTAAAGGGAGGACCCCCAATTGTGTGTCAGTGGAGGCCAGGTAGGGAGC